TTCTTGCCAAATTAATTTAATATTAAAACTGAATTTTCTAAATCATCTTATTAAAAATAAATCAATCGCAATATGAAACACAAGAAACTGTTTTAGTGAATATCATAAATATCTCCCAAATCAAAACTAATAGTTATAAAAATATGTTCTTAAAACTAAATATTAAAAACCATAGTACTTTTTTGTTGACACTAAATATTACAACTAAAATAGTTCAAAAAAAACTCTTAAAATTAATAAATTACAACGAAAGTAATATTATCATCGTTCTTGAAACTAAATAATGACAAATAAAAGTATGTTCATTACAATTTAATAGTGTATTTCAAGAAGTGGGTGAAGACGGATTTTGATCTGAACGTGGAGGTTGGTGACCTGCTGAAAAACTTTTCATAAATTGAAATAATTGTTCTCTAAGCAAACGTGAGTCTTCTTGTGATGCACGAATCAAATCCTCATGAGTCTTAAGTTTCTCTTTAAGGGTGTTATTTTCAGCAGACAAATCAGAAATAACAGTCCTCATTTGTTCATATTCAGATGATGAGATACCGTCAAATGTTGAAGATCTAGATGACTTGTACTTTGCTGCTTCTGGTCCCAAACCATATATACGACCCTTCTTGTCCACTCCTCCAACAACATCTAAGAAGATGTTGTTGTCAGATTGATGACTAGAAACATCATCTCCAAGTGCCTCTTGTGAGTCCCTCTCAAGAATCCTTTTTTCATACTCATTCTGTAAATAACAATTAAGTTCAGAGGAAGAATATAATCATTCAAAACACAAAATAATATAATATTAATAGTTCATAGTAACTCGTAAAATAACATTATATTTTAGATTTCATAATAAATTGAAGCATATGCATAAAGAGTAAATTGATTCAGTTCAAGCATAGTACAAGCATATATGAAAACAATTATTAGCACATGGGAAAACCATGATACAATACAAGCATAATAGTCTGAAGCATATGGAAAAATCATGATTAGCACATGCATCAATGATGAAATTGGGAGAATTAATGAACCATATGCATAAAGAGTAATTTACCGCAACCATCTCCGATTTTGTAGAAACCCATTTGTTTGGATTACCCTTCACTCTGTGTGTCTTTTGAAATAAGTCCCAACAAGTTGGATTTGTATCTGAGGATTCTTTCTAAAAAGAAAAAAGAGTCAATGTTAATTAAAATTGAAATATTTAACATAACAAAAGAAATTAAATTTCTTACTAATCTCTTATAGTGCTCGGTTGTTGGAATTGATCCTCCAGTGTGTAGTGGACCATCTGAAGATCTTCTATTGTGAGTGTTAATTTCTGACTTTCTTTTCCACTTATCGTCATTCCATTTTTCTTCTAATATCTTGAGTGTTTCAGTAGGAATCCAATCACCTGGGTCAATCTTTTTTCTCACCCTATACATTGTGTTTGAATATGCATTAGAGGCTTTATGATCAAATATCTTCTTAATTTCTTCTTCATGTTCAAGTAGCCACTTGTACTTTCTCTACAATATAGACAATATAAGAGAATATAGAATTAGATATTAAAGTAATTATGATATTACTTAAGATAAATATTTTACGGTTCAAAAGAAAGTATAATCTGATTATTTTGTGGCTATTATAACTTTATATTTTTTTAACATACTTATAAAATTTGAAAATTATGGTTTACACTTGTTATTAGAATAAAACACTGAAGATTTCATATTTTTGCTATTAGAATATGAAGTTATATACACTTATTATTATATATACACTTATTCTACAATATTTTTTCAAACTAACTCAAAATTGATATTCAGAATGTTATAATCATAAAACACTGAAGATTTCCTTTGTCCCCGGAGCTTATTCCCAACAATCTACACTTGTTGGTGGAATTGATCCAGGATATGTTTGCATGTAAAATTGTCATGAACGTTTAGTTCCAAATGGGATCCAAGTTTCCTACTAAAATGTGATTTTTAGTCCTCAAAAAATGAAAAAGCCCAGTTTCACTCAGCTATTACAAAACAATGGCATCTTATTTCCATTCAATCATCCGAACCTTCTCAAGATAAATCCTAACATTCGGGTAGTGTGACAACACCAATTAGGGAGCCCGATATGTGTTGCTTCTAGATTACATTAACAAATTCGTGCAAGACCCACTATGCGACCATGTTTTCTCTTGTGATGTGAACAGTTTTTTTATTAGGTTCACAAGTTTCACCAGTTTTCTTTGTGAATACTGTTGGCTGGTGTTCTCATCATCTGTTTCTACTCTGTTTCACCAGTTCCCTTTGCTCTAAATTTTATGAACACTCAGCCATAACAATAAATACATGAAAAATAAGGTCAACAATTTTACATGCAAACAGAGATATATATTCCATTTTACAGAGATTTTTTACATGCAACAATTTTATAATTTCATATTTTTTTTAACATACTGATGGAAGGGTTTATAATTAGAATAGTTTATTTCTACTAAAGTATAACTAGAATATATATTCTATTTTACAGAGATTTCAATTTTCCAATTTTTTAACACGCTTGATATATAATTTAAAATTCTTTTCATACCTTAAACTCTCCAAGCCATAATTCGTTCACAGTTTTAAATTCTTCTTTGCCCTTCATCTCTCCATAGTTTGTCCAAGACACTACAAACTTACGTTTGATAATTTTCGCAATCTCTCGTGTAGGCTGAATTGCAGGGTCAAAACTACAAAAAATTTAAAGAAATTGTAAGATAAAGTCATGATTTATTTATAAATTAAAGGAAGTTATTAAAACTTACGTTTTTTGTGGACCTGGACGAATCCAAACCCTTCCATCAGTGGGGTCCTTACTTCCAATTTGTGGAGGTGGATCAACATGGGATGATGATACATGTGGATCATCACCAGATGCATTAGCTGATGGGACATGTGACGAGCTAGGCGGAGAAGAAATAGGTGGACTAACTGAGGAGGAAATATGAGGGCTAGGAGTGGAGCATTGAAATTGAGAATGTACAGGTCTATGAGATGTGGAAGATTTTGTAGGCTGGCCAACAATAGATGGTGACAAAATAGTGGTACCCTTACCTTTTTCAGATGAAACATGAGGACTAGGGATGGAGTGTTGAAATTGAGAATGTGTGACTCTATGAGATGTGGAAGAGTTTGTAGGATGGACATTAATAGATGGTGACAAAGTAGTGGTACCCTTACCTCTTTCAGATGAAACATGAGGTATAGGAGTAGAGGTGGGAAGTTGAGTATTTATAACTTTATGAGATGTGGAATTATTTGTAGGTTTCCTAATAATAGTTTGTGACAAAGTAGTGGTATCCCTAACTCTCTCGGGTGAAACATGGGGGATAAAAGTGGAATGGGGAAGTTGAGTATTCGCAGGTTGGCCAATAATAGATTGTGACAAAGTAGCAGTAGTCCTACCTCTCTTACCTCTACTAATACCTCTACCGATACCTCTTCCTCCACCCTTCGTTTTATCATTGTCCTCCATCTATATATAAAAAAAAAACATCAAATTGATTAATGAACATTAATAAGTACAAATTAGAAAAAAAAACATACACACAAACAAACAATAATTTACATAAATATGCATAAGAATAACACAAATATTATATTAACTTAATCTTAAATAACACAAATAATTTACATAAATAATGCATAATACCATCATAATCATAATTGTTGTCCTCATCCCATTCATCTTCTTCCTCCTCTTCCTTGTCCTCTTCGTCATCCTCTTCTTCCTCTTCCTCATCCTTATCCTCTTCCTCGTCCTCATCCTTATCCCTTCTTTCCACTTGTTTTGATTCAAGTTGTTTCAACAAAGAGCTTGACACTTCTTCTCCTATACCATTAATGTCAACATGGCATCGATGAAAATCATCATTAGAAACAACTATAGGTATTTGATGTACATCATCATCTTGATATGCATCAGTTATTTCGTGTTTGTTTTTCTCCATGTATTTAGTGGTACTCCGTGCCTTGGTTTTTATGACACCTAGCCAACCTTGTTGCCCTTCAGGAAAAGATGTAAAGTAAACTTGGTCAGCTTGTTGGGATAATATAAAAGGATCATAATTTGGATATCTTCTAGACTTTTTTATCTCAATATTGCCATAGTTATCCAACTTTGTCCCTTGAGAACTAGGATCAAACCAATCACATTGAAATAAAACCGCCTTCTTTGTTGGGTGACCAGTGTACTCTAGTTCGACAATGTCAATCAAAACTCCATAGTAATCATTTTCCAATGAATCAAATTGCCCTCCCCGAACACAAACATTGTGATTGGTTGTACTCATCCCTTCATTTCGAGATTTCGTTACAAACTTGTAGCCATTAATAACATAACCAGACCACTTAACAACTTCTCTAATAGGACCCCATGCCAAACTCCTTAAAAGGCCATCATCTATCTTGTTCCTTGAATCAAGCACCTACATTAGACAAAATATTTTGAATTCAACCCAAAAAATTGGATACTCTAATCTTAACCTATAAATATTCACGTACATATGTTTTGAACCATGTCGGAAATGATGCGGAAACTTGCTTGTCCAAATCTGATTCATTCAACTCAGGATCTAACTCTCGTAACAAATCAGAGTGCATACTACACAAATATGATACTCGTTAAACTTTACTTCATAAAAAAATACATGTATGAAACTTTCAACTTTGAAATACTTACTTTAGGTAAGGTACCACTTCAGGACAATTTAAAAGAATATACAAGTGTGCAACTTTCATTTCCCTATCATCCAAGGTAGAAGTGGTACGTTTTCCAAATGGACGGCCTGGGTAATTAAATATGGACAACGGAGGACCCAATGAAAAATCCTCTCCCCCATCATCATTGTGTGGCACTCTTGTTCTCCTTGATGGAACATCAGGTGGATAATAATAGGAAGCAAATGTGGACATCTCCTCTAATAAATATGCTCTACAAATCGAACCTTCCACATGAGCAGGATTTGTTACCTTTTATTTTAAAGTTCGGATGAACCTATTGACCAAATCAAGATTATACTTAGATAAATGAAGAAAAATAAGGAAATTAACCAAGAAATTGTAAAAATGTTGGATAATTAACCTTTCAAATGGATACATCCATCTATATTGCACAGGACCACCAACTCTTGCTTCATAAGCTAAATGAATAGGAAGATGTTCCATTGAGTCAAAAAAGCTTGGAGGAAATATTTGTTCTAATTTGCACATTATGATTGGAATGTTTTCCTCCAAATTACGCAATTTATCCTCTCTCAACGAAGATGATGTAATTTCTCTGAAGAATTGGCTGAATTCAGTTAGTGTATTCAAAATAGGTTTGGGTAAGGATTTGAAGGCTAGTGGTAGCAAACGTTGCATGAATACATGACAGTCATGACTCTTCATGCCAAACAACTTTGCTTCCTTCATATCAACACATATACTTAAGTTAGAAACATAACCATCTGGAAGCTTAAGGTTTTTAACCCATTCACATACAGCTATTCGTTGTTGTTTGGTTAATGTATATTGTGCCTTTGGTTTTACAAAGTTACCATTCCTACCAGGTTGAAGCTCAAGTCCCATACGCTTGCAATGTTTTTTCAAGTCCCTCCTAGAGTTTAAAGTATCTTTTGTCTTACCTTTGGTGTCCATTACAGTGAACAAAATATTAAGAAACACATTTCTCTCAATGTGCATTACATCAAGATTGTGTGGGAGAAGATGAGTTTTCCAATATGGAAGTTCCCAAAATATACTTCGTTTTGTCCAATGATGATTTACCCCATAGCCTGGTGGTTTACATTCTTCGGATTCTTCCACACTAGGAAATTTTCTAACGTTTTCCCACACCTCTTGACCACTCAACCTTTGTGGAGGCATTGACATCTCAACTCTACCTTTTGTAAATGCAGTCTTATTCCTTCTATACGGGTGATTTAGTGGTAAGGAAAGATTTCAAACAATCTTTAGCTGCTATGGTTGAGACAAGTTTGTGTCATGAACCAGTTTACTTTGATGTCTCACCTAATTTAAATTTATCTTTATCTGATAAAAATTTATTAGATGTTATGCAGTTAACAGTTCATACTAATGGTTCTAATTTTAAACCGGGAAGTGAAATTATAGCAATATGCTATAGAATCTACTATAAGGTTCTTACTACGCTTAATCCTAAAGCAAAGCATTTATCATTTCCTGGAACCACTAATTTGGTTCAAACAAATTTACTAACATCCAATGTTGCAACCAATAGGTTAATAAAGTGGGATGAAATAAACTTCCCAGAGACATGGTCTCTCCCCCAGGAAATAGATCCTGAACCTATCCTTAATAGGGATATAGACCAAATTATTCAGACTACTGAAGGAGATTTAGAAATAAATTTCACTTCAAAAAGAATAACTAGAATACCCAGGTCCCTATCTACTAGGCACTCAGTTAGTGAATTTTACACAGCTCCTAGCCAATTACCTAGACCTTCTACTTCTCAAATAAGAGAAGAAATAGAGGTCGTTGAGAATATAAGACTAAGCGAAAATAGAGTTCCCCATGGAATTTATCAAAGACCTCATACTCCAAGAGTAGAATCACCTACTCAGTCAGATATTGATTTCCAATTATAATGATAGATTACTCCCCTGGTAGTAAGATGAGACAACTCATCAATGATGAGTTTCAACATGAGAGATACTCTCAATTTAGAAATTGGTTTTTTAAAAAATTTTCAAAACCTGAATTAGCCCAATTTAAAGATGAGTATTACACTCAAATGAACCTTGAGCAGGATTTCGTTCCTTTTGTTAAATGGTTTGTTAATTACTTTATAAATAAAAATCAAGAAGAAATTCTTGTGTTACAAACACCTTGGAACACCTTTGAATAACAAGTTTGAACTTTCTTGCAATATTGTCTCACAATCTTCTATACTCCTCTTTTCTTTACTAAAAATCTGATCCTGCTTCCGCTAAATACACACCTTGGAACACCTTTGAATAACAACTTTGAAGTTTCTTATAACATTGTCTCTACCATTCACTTTCTATACTTCTCTTTTATACAAACTATTCCGATCCTGTTTCCGCAAACAAACAATCTTTGGTATCAGAGCCTTCAGTTACTGAAGTATAGAAAGTCTGTTTTTAGCGGAAGCATGATCGGATTTTTAGTAAAGAAAAGAGGAGTATAGAAGATTGTGAGACAATATTGCAAGAAAGCTCAAACTTGTTATTCAAAGGTGTTCCAAGGTGTAATTATAAATGAAACTTAAATCCCTTTATATAGGGAAGAAAAGGCTTACTATTTAAGCCGGTAACTAAAACTTACAATAGCCGGTAACTTGTATAATTATTGTCGGGTACACTTGGGGCCCCATCGTCACAACAATTAACAAGAAACTACAAAAATCACATGCATGCCTAGAAATTATTAAAGACAAGATAAGATTCTTTTTCCCTTGTCTTTTACAAAAGATAGAAAATGCATGTAATTATGCCTAGAAATTATTAAAGACAAGATAAGATAAGATTCTTATCCCCTTGTCTTTTACAAAAGATAGAAAATGCATGCAATTATGCCTAGAAATTATTAAAGACAAGATAAGATTCCCTTGTCCTTTTGCTTTTGGAAAGATTCTTCTTCTATTATTTCTTGTCCTTTAACCTTTGTCTATTGATTCTTACTTCATTATATTTAGACAAGATAGCAAATTAATTCTTTGCTTTTCTTTTTTCTTTCAAAGATTGAATCATCGCATCTCAGAAATCTTCTGCAGTAGCTTCATCTGCTTGACCTTCTCCTGCTACACCTTCAAAATTATGGGAATCCATTGATCCCATGGAAGAGCTTGTCTTCATAGATGAATCCTCATCTTTTGATGCTTTTGATGGAAAAGTAGAGAAGAATTGGTTCTTCATATGATCCAAAATTCTGACCATAATTTCGTCTTCTGATTCATTAGGATATTTTCTCTTGAAGAAGTTCTTCAAGTTTTCCATTGACATTTGTTGGGAGCTTTTTTCCTTGACCTTTTTATTCTGGTCTTCAGCTATTGCTTCTTCAATTAATTTAATTTTATTCTGGACATCCTCTGAACTCATCTTATTCCACCATTTATAAAAGAAATTTCTTTCTAAAATGGGAATGTTAAATTTGTTTCTTGATATGGTGATTGTCCATCTCCATATCCATGGAATCTGAAATTTAATAAAGAACAATAATGGACATTGTCCAGTGATTAAATTATCAGATAAATTTTTTATAATAAGTGGACTATTATCACACCATGGATTATATAAGTTAAGAATTTCTTTAGGAAGAATTTCCAAAGATGGACCAAATTTAGCCCACCATTCATAAAACCAATTTGGTATGGGTTTATTAACCATCTCTTCATTAATAGAGAAAAACCAAGAATGCTTATTCTTGGGATTTTGGTAAGAAAAGGCTTGAGTGAAAGCCTGGACATAGTCCCAATAATTAAAGTAAATATACTTTCCTTCCGCAATTCTTATTGCCTTTTCGGCATTTGGGTTGAGACCCCATTCTCTTGGTAACAAAATTTTGTTAATGTGACATTTACTGAAGTTTATAAAACTTTCAGGATTATTGTTTTGGTAATGGTGAGTAATTGTTACCGATTCGGTAACAGTCAGGAGAATTTCTAGGTTGGGCCTAGATTTTCCATGAAGACCTGGATATCCTCTTGATTCGAGGTATCTAGTTTTGATAGACCATCCATCATTTGGATTTATCTTTATATATTCATCATCAATATACATGATTTTCTCAGTTACTGGATTTTCAAAATAATCCATTTGTTCTTGAGGTGGGTTATTAACCGCAACTTCCTTGTAGGATGTAGTTTTATTAGAGGAAGAGGAAGCAATATCTTCCCTTTTTGCTGAAGATGCAGGTAATTGCTGCATTTTTCTACCTTTGTAGACAGTAGTCCAATCCCCTATTAGAGGAATGTTTGATTCTGGCTGGGGTAACATATTGTTACTCCCTCTCCCACCACGGCCATAACCGCGGCCTCTACCCCTATATGGGGTCATCATTTTTTCCCTGCAAAAATTCACGAGTTAAATAATCAGCAAGTGAATTATTTTCACCTTTAATGTGTTGAATATCAAATTCAAACATAGATAATTGCGATTGCCAACTAGCAAAAATTTGCTTAGCAACAAGATTTTTAACATCTTTTTCAATAATTGATTTAGCTGACCTACAATCAATTTTTAATAAAAAATTTTTATTAAGAAGATCATCTTGAAATTTTGAAATGCATTTTATAATAGAAAGCATCTCTTTCTTGATAGTTGAATATTTTGCTTGTGTTGGATTCCATTTTCCAGAAGTAAATCTAACCAAAACTTCTTTTGAGGTTTCAGGTATTATTTGTTTAAGGATTCCTCCATAGCCTAAGTCTGAAGCATCAATTTCAACAATTTTGAAATACTTAGGATTAGCAAGAGATAAACAAGGCAAACATTTCACCTTATTTTTAATTCTCTGGACTGCCTGAGAATGTTTTTCAGTCCAAGGGCCAGGATTCTTTTTAAGCCTAGCATGTAATATTGCCGTATCTTTAGCTAGATTTTCATAATAATCTGCTATGTAATTATGGCTACCAAGAAACCTTTGTAATTGTTTCTTATCTGTAATAATATTAGGGAATTTAGAAGCAAATTCAATACTTCTTTGTATAGGAATTATAGTTCCTTGGTCAATTTCATGTCCTAAAAATCTAACCTTTGTTTGAAAAAGTTTCATCTTAAGACCAGATATTACTAATCCATTATGCTTAATTAATCCTTTGAATATTTTCAAATGTTTCATATGTTGATCTATAGTTTTTGAAAAAACTAAAATATCATCAATATAAATAATTATAAATTCCGTATAAGGATTAAAAATATCATTCATAATATTTTGAAATTCAGAAGGGGCATTTTTAAGGGCAAAAGGAAGGACATTCCATTCATAATGTCCAAAAGGTACGGTAAAGGCTGTTTTATACTTATCAGATTCATTAATTTGAATTTGCCAATAACCAGATTTCATATCAAATTTAGAGAAGATTAAAGCATTGTTTAATCTATCTAAAAGATCTTTTTTATTAGGAATAGGATATCTAATCCATTTTAACACTTTATTAAGTGGTTTGTAATTAATAACGAGTCTAGGAACTCCACGTTCCTTTTCTGCAGCATTATTGACATAAAAGGCTGTGCAACTCCAAGGAGATTTGGATTTTCTTATTAATTTTTTCTCCAAAAGAGATTTTATCTCTTTTTTGCATAAATCCAAATACTCATGATTCATTTGAGCAGGCATAGCTTTAGTGGGAATTTGACTTTCATTAAAGTCATCAAGATAAGGTAAGGAAATAACATGTTTCTTTCTACCCCAAAAGGCATTAGGTAAATCATTGCATATTTCTTCTCTAAACTGTTGATCAATTAATTTAATTTGATTTTGAATTTCAGGATTTTTAAGTTGAGAAGTGATGTTTAATAAACCCACTTCTTCTTTAAGAAAACAAATTTGTTTTTATTTTTTAAGAACAATATCTTTAACTTCATTAATCATCCTAGTATGAGGATCAGTAATAAATTCAAAAGTAATTCTTTTATTATTAATAATGGAGGTAATTCCCTTTTGATCAACATTAATTAGAGGCATAATTTTATGCAGAA